TCCACTGGGAGTCTACTTAGCTGTCTCCCTCTGCTCCTCCCCTTGTTTTCTCTGGAATAAATAAATAAACTCTTAAAAAAGGGGAGGGGGGGGCACCTGGATGACTCAGTGGGTTAAAGCCTCTGCCTTCAGCTCAGGTCATGATCCCGGGGTCCTGGGATGGAGCCCCGCATCGGGCTCTCTGCTCAGCGGGGAGCCTGCTTCCCCCTCTCTATCTGCCTACTTGTGATCTCTCTCTCTCTGTCAAATAAATAAATAAAATCTTTAAGGAAAAAAAAAAAGAAAAAACCTGTAACAGAAATGAAGAATGCCCTTGAAAATGAAGAATACTCATCAGCAGATTCAAGATGGCTGAGGAACAAATCAGTGAGCTTGAAGATAGATCATTAGAAACTTTTTCAAATGAAGTGCAAAGAGAAAAAAGGAATGGGGGTTAGGAGTAGCATCCAAGAACTGTGGGACACTATCAAGAGATATAACGTATATGTACCTAGAATATCAAGTGGAGTCAAAAGAAATAACGGAGAAGGAAAAAATTTGCAAAATATTTTCTCAAAATTTTTCCTAAATTACTAACAGCAAGCTACATATCCAGGAGGCTCAGAAAACACCAAACAGAAGAAATACTTAAAAAAGGAAAAGAAAAAGAACCAAAACCAAAACAAAACAAAAAAAAAATCTATGCAAACTGCAAAAAGAGAGAGAGAGAAAGAGGAAATCATGAAAGAAGCCAGAAGAAAGTGGGAAAATACTTTATCTATAGAGGAACAGCAGACTTCTCCTCATGAAACCACATCAGAGCTGATAAAAACCTCAGACCCAACTATATGCTGTCTACAAGAAACCCATTTTAAATATAAAGATTCTGCTAGGTTAAAAGTCAAGAAATGGAGAAAGATACACCATGCTAATGCCAATTAAAAAAAATTGGGAGTGCCAATATTAATTTCAGACACAGCAGACTTTAGAACAAGGAAAATCATCATGGATAGAGATGGGGGCAATTACATAATGATATATAATTCTATTCAATTCTTCAGGGATATATTATAATCCTAAAATAAAATAATATAAAAACAGAGAGGGAGGCAAACCATAAGAGACTCCTCTAAGTACAGAGAACAAACTGAGGGTTGACGGAGGGAATGTGGGTGGGGGGGATGGGTTAAATGGGAGATGGGCATGAAGGAGGGTACTTGTTGTGATGGGCACTAGGTGTTCTATGTAAGTGACGAATCGCTAAATTCTACTCCTAAAACCAATACTGCATTATATGTTAACTAACTTGAATTTGAATTTTAAAAAGGAGATATTACCATCGTAAACTGCTATGCACCTAACAACAGAGTATTAAAATATATGAGGCAAAAACTGACAGAACTGAAAAGAGAGACAAATCCACTATTATAATTGGAGACATCACCATCCTCTGTCAGTAACTGATATAACAAGCAGGCAGAAAACCAACAAGGATAGTTCACTTGAACAGCACCATCAATCAACTGCATCTAATTGACATTTATAGAATATTCTACCGACAGCAAAATACACATTCTTCTCAAGCTTGCATGTAACATTCACCCAAGTGTCTTAATCCTTGGGCTGCTATAACAAAATACCACAGACTAGGAGGCTTACAAACAACAATCTTTTATTTCTCCCATTTCTAGGAGCTGAAAGTCCTAGACCAAGGAGCCAGCATGGTCAGAGGCGGGTTCCCCTCTGGGGCTCAGATTTCTCGGTGCATCCTCCTATGGCAGATCTCTGTGAGGTCTCTTCTATAAGGGTTACTTACACCACCATGAAGGCTCTGCCTAATCACCTCCCAAAGGTCCCAACCCCCGGCCCCAATGCCATCACCTTTCGGGGTAGGACTTCAACAAAGGACTTTGCAAGGGGCTTGCTGGGGCTGGGGGGAGGGGAGGGCACATACAAACATTATGATCAGAGCACTGAAACAGACCACACTTGGGGCCATAAAACACACTTTAATTTTTTTTTTTTTAATAGAAATCATAGGGGCGCCTGGGTGGCTCAGTGGGTTAAAGCCTTGCCTTCGGATCAGGTCATGATCCCAGGTCCTGGGATCGAGCCCCCCATCAGGCTCTCTGCTCAGCAGGGAGCCTGCATCCCACTCCCTCTCTCTCTGCCTGCCTCTCTGCCTACTTGTGATCTCTGTCTGTCAAATAAATAAATAAAATCTTTTTTAAAAAATAAATAAATAAATAGAAATTATACAAACAACTTCCTTACACTAGAATGGAATTAAAAATCAACAGGAGGATATGGGGCACCTGGGTGGCTCAGTGGGTTAAAGCCTCTGCCTTCGACTCAGGGCGTGATCCCAGGGTCCTGGGATCAAGGCCCGCATCGGGCTCTCTGCTCAGCAGGGAGCCTGTTTCCTCCTCTCTCTCTGCCTGCCTCTCTGCCTACTTGTGAGCTCTCTCTCTCTGTCAAATAAATAAATAAAAATCTTAAAAAAAAAAATCAACAGGAGGATAGACAAAACCCCCAAATAACTCAAAAATCTAGCAACACAATTCTAAATAACACATGGGTCAATGAGGAAGTATCAATACATTTTTAGAATTTTTTTTGAACTAAATGAAAATAGGATTGGTCAAAATTTGTAGAATGTAGCAAAAGTGGTGTTTAGAGAAAAAAATGTATCACATTAAATGTATCTGTTAGAAAAGAAGATCTAAATTCAGTAACCTAAACTTCTACCTTAGGCAACAAGATGAAGAACAAGTGTAAGCCTAAATTAAGCACAAGAAATACAGCAAAAGAGCGTAAATCAATGAAACTGAAAATAGGAAGATGATAGAAAAAAAAAAATCAACACACCAAAATTCTGGGGGGTTCTGACCAAGCTGAACAAGAAAAAGGAGAGAAGACACAAATTACTAATATGAGAAATGAAAGAAATATTGATCCCATGGACATTAAAGGGATAATGAAAGAATACAACAAAGAACTCTATGCTCCCAAATTTGATAATTTAGATAAAATGTGCCAATTTCTTAAAAGATATAAACTACCAAATTCAAACAAGGAGAAAGACAAAGTGAACAATTATTTGTATTAAAGAAATTAAATCAATAATTAAGAACCTTCTCTAGGGGCGCCTGGGTGGCTCAATGGTTAAAGCCTCTGCCTTCAGCTCAGGTCATGATCCCAGGGTCCTGGGATCGAGCCCCGCATTGGACTCTCTGCTTGGCAGGGAGCCTGCTTCCCCCCCTCTCTGCCTGCCTCTCTTCCTACTTGTGATCTCTGTCTGTCAAATAGATAAATAAAATCTTAAAAAAAAAAAAAAAAAAGAAGAAGAACCTTCTCTAAAAAAAATCACTGGGCCCAGATGACTTCTCTCATGAAGTCTATCAAATATTTAAGGAAGGTAGGATATCAATTTTCTATAATCTACTTCAGAAACTAGAAAAGGAAGGGATGGGGCGTCTGGGTAGCTCAGCTGGTTAAATGTCCAACTCTTTGTGTTGGCTCAGGTCATGATCTCAGGGTTGTAAGATCAAGCCCCATGTCAGGCTCTTTGTTCTGTGGGGAGACTGCCTAAGAGTCTCTCCCTGTGCCCCAACCCCTGCTCCCCACCTTGCATGCACACATGGGTACTCACTGGCTCGCTCTCTCTCTCTCGCTCTCTCTCTCTCTCTCAAAAAAAAAAAAAAAAAAAAAAAAGGAAAAAAGAAAATAAAGGAATACTTCCTAAATTATGAAGCCAGTATGACCCTAACATCAAAACCAGATAATTACAAGAAAACTACGGACCGGTATCTCTCATGAACACCCTTAAAAATCCTCGCCAAAATATTAGCAAATAGGATCCAACAATGTATGTGAAGAATTATACACCACAACCAAGTGACATGTCTTCCCGGAATGCAATGTTGGTTCAACATGAGAAAAGCAATTAATGTAAACCATCACACACAGACTAAAGAAGAAAAAAATACACAATTGTATTAATTGATGCAGAAAAAGCATCTGACAAAAATCCAACACCAATTCTCGATTTAAAAAGAAACATTCACCACATTAGTGATAGAGACTATCCTTAGCTTGACAAAGGGAAATGCAAGTCAAAGCCACAGTAAGGTACCACTTCACACCCATATGGTTGGCCATAACTTAAAAAAAAAAAAAAAAAAATAAGAAAGAAAGAGAAGAACAAATGTTGGTAAGGATGAGGAAAACTGGAACCCTCAAATACTGCTGGTGAGAATGTAAAATAAGACAGTAGTTGTGGAAAACAGTTTGTTTTTCAAAATTACCATATGATCTAGCAATTCCAGTCCTAGGTTTATACACAAAAGAACCGGAAACACGTATTCAAACATCCTGGGACCCTGATGGCTGCACTCGCAGGGAGAGCCACTCCCCTGACAGGAATGGGGGCTGCCTCAGAGGCAACACAGTACCACCCAGAACACGAGGGCAGCAGAAAGGGACCTGGCAGGTCTGACAGGGGAAATGGACAGAGTCATAGGAAATACAGTCTACTGTATTTCTAGGCATGTCCTGCACTCCTTCCCATCTTCCTCCACAAAATGAAGGTAAACTTATGGGGTGTCTGGGTGGCTCTGTTGGTTAAGCATCTGCCTTCGGCTCAGGTCATGATCCCGGGATCCTGGGATCCAGCCCTGTGTTGGACTCCCGGTTCAGCGGGGAGCTTGCTTCTCCTCTGCCTCTGCCTGCTGCTCCCCCTGCTTGTGCTCTCTCTTGCATGCTCTCTCTCTCAAATAAACAAACAAAACCTTTAAAAATGTTTTTTTAAAAAATGAAGGTAAATTTGAAAAAAAAAAAAAAAGGGAAACAATGAAAAATTTTTGTGTCACCACACTTAAGCTTTCATTACGCAGAGGTGGGGGTAACAAGACACATCGCTGTTTTCCCAGCTCCCATTCAGCACATGAGCCGAGGTGTCTATGCCAACAGCTCAGGGGGGTAGGGGCAGCACAGCAGTGACAACCACAGGTCCTACTTACTCAGAGTCGCCAGGCCCCAGAGGACTCTCAGCCATCCGCAGGACAGTCCTGGCCTCAGAGGCTGGCGTGCCCACCCGGGATTCAGCAAAGCTTCAAGCTTCCGGAGACTGGAACGAAAGAGAGCACAAGCAGGGCATCAGTGGGCTGCGGGCAGGCTGCTCATCGATGAACACACGGGCGTTCTAGCTGAGCGACAGGCCACACGTTAAAAAGAGAGGCTAACAGCACCCTGCATCAAAGCGTTAAAAGCGGCTCAGATGGAGAGGATGTGGAGAAAGGGGAACCCTCTTACACTGTTGGTGGGAATGCAAGTTGGTGCAGCCACTTTGGAGAACAGTGTGGCGATTCCTTAAGAAATTAAAAATAGAGCTTCCCTATGACCCTGCAATTGCACTACTGGGTATTTACCCCAAAGACACAGATGTAGTGAAAAGAAGGGCCATCTGTACCCCAATGTTCATAGCAGCAATGGCTTCAGTCGCCAAACTGTGGAAAGAACCAAGATGCCCTTCAACGGACGAATGGATAAGGAAGATGTGGTCCATATACACTACGGAGTATTATGCCTCCATCAGAAAGGATGAATACCCAACTTTTGTAGCAACATGGACGGGAATGGAGGAGATTATGCTGAGTGAAGTAAGCCAAGTAGAGAGAATCAATTATCATATGGTTTCACTTACTTGTGGAACATAAGGAATAATATGGAGGACGTTAGGAGAAGGAAAGGAAAAGTGAATTAGGGGAAATTGGAAGGAGAGACGAACCATGATAGATTGTGGAATCTGAGCAACAAACAGGTTTTAGAGAGTAGGTGGGTGGAGGGTTGGGAGAGCCTGGTGATGGGTAATAAGGAGGGCACGTATTGCATGGAGCACTGGGTGTAATGCATGAACAAAGAATCTTGGAACACTGAAAAAATAAAAGAAAGAAAGGAAAAAAGAAAAAATAAAAGAATTTTTTAAAAGCAGCTCAGAACTGCAGGGTCAGAACTCTGGGATTCTGCAGAACAGCCAAACACTCTGAAAATCAGAGTTGTGAGTAGATCGTGAGCCTCTCCAGTGATGGCTGGAATGATGCCTCCTGTTCATTCCCCAAGGTCAGCAAGCACAGAGAGCTAACGACTTGAGGCCACCAGCAGCCAGGCCTCCGCTGGAGAGAGCAGGGAATGTATTTCTCTAATCCTTTTGGAGGAAGGTATGGGAAACCCTGTGGCATTAATATTGCAGCTTTCACTTGCTCTAACAGGAAATGAAGTCCATTCTTCAAGGTTCTGTTCCCAATTTGTTTTCCCAAGACGCAAAATGCGATAGAAGATACAGAGCTCGGTGTCATTTGCATTATTCATCTTACAATGGTGTGTGACACACATAGGGGGACATTCTACAAAATACACTAACCCAAGCCTTTTCAAAGAAAGGCGACCGTATGGACGCGTGGGTGTACAGTGCAAGCCATTCCCTTTGCAAGTGGCGTCATTTCCTCCCTGACGCCCTGGGGATGCCAGCGCTCAAACGGCGGCCTGCACACCAGGGCCATCATGGCATAGGCCGTGGCTTGGATCTCTGCGTGGAGCCCGAGTACGGAGATAGACATCCTGACTCATATCCTAACTCTGTCCCATACAGCCTGGAAGGACTAAGGAAACCCACCCGTGCCTCAGTTTCCCTATTTCGGAGGAGGATGGGAGCACTGAGATATTGGGCTTCAGGCCCCACCTCCAGCACCAGCACCTTGGTCTCCCTACCATGTCGAATGAAGGCACTGACCCCCATGCCTTAAGCTTTAATGTTGATGGCACCTGCCGTGTTCCCTGCCCATGAAACAGGCCACCCAGCTGAAGGCCTCCAAAGTCTTAACACAGATCCCGCACCCCCCACCATGGGCCCACTCCAATACCAGTGGACAAGAGCACCACTGTCTGTGCAGATAACACGCTGGCCCAACCACTCCTGCACCAGCACCCAGCTACAGCCAGGGACACCAATTGGGTGCGTGGAGGTATGGTACTCCAGGACACGGCACTGATTCTGGACTGCGGCACGCAAGGCAGCCAAGCTCCCAGGCCTGAGCCCTCATCATGCCCCAAGCCCCCTGCCACTGGCACTTCACCCCTTTCATGCCAGTGTTCGAGTCATTCCATTTTTGGTTCCTCCAGAATCGTACTGACAAACTCCTATTCATTCTTCAAAACCCAATGGGGAATGGTATCCCTGAGCTTCAGTGGTAAGAACACTCTTCTCGCTCGGCTTGACCTGTTGCTGAAGTTTTTATTCCCAACCCTATCCCCTGATCCCTCCAGGAGCCCACCTGGCCTCCTGAAAGGGGCATTCCAGAGACTGCAAACAAAGGACCCGGGCCTCAAACATAACCTTAAAGAAAGGAGACGGTTAACGTAAGACACTACATAGACGGGGAAAGGACTCTGAACAGGAGTGCTGAGCTGGGGTCACAGACACCAGCTGCAGCAGAAGGGAAGTAAGAAAACAGGCTACTGAAGACCATAATGAGCACCCACCACCAAGCTCAGAGGCCCATGATAAGTCACAGGCAACTGCGGCCATCAAAAGCTTCTGACAGTAGAAGCGGGTTACCAGATTGGTTAGGGGCAAGACAACCTGGGAGGTGTGGGGCTCATCCAGGAGCCCCCAGAAGGAATGCAGAGTCCCTTGGGGAGAAGAAAGAGGCTCGACGCTACACTGAGCCCCCCCAAAGGCTATGTTGATGGTGCTATTCAGAAGGGGTTCACAACACAGAAAAGCTCCTGCACTTGGTATGGGAAGCCTCCTGCCAGTCCCCAAAGCTGCATAATTGCTCTGCAAAACTGCCTTTAATCAACCTGCTTGGTAACTGCCATGAGCCACAGTCCCCGAGGCTAAAAATACAGCCAGCTTCCCAGCAACACTCATCCTCCAGGGGCCTTCCACAGGGGCAGAGGGGTGGCTGGCCGGGAACCAGGGAGTCTTCCTTGGCTGAGCATCCATCCTCCATTCAAAAGCCATCTGTGGGGCCAACCAACTCTGTGCCAGGCTGAGGATCTCAGCTCTCCCTCTGCTCCCATGAGTCTCCCTGGCAGGACCAGCTGACACTGTGTCCCTCCCTACCCCACTCCCACTGCCCTGTACTCAGCCACACACAGGGCTCACCCAGAAAAGGCTCACAAGGAAATGGCAAACACATCAGCAACTCATAAATCCCTAGTCATGGATGGACAGGGAGTAATGCACAGCCCCCAGCTGCTGCCCTCCACTGCTCCTTCCCAACCCCAGAAAGAATACGAGGCACACAGGTGGGCACTGGGAAGAAGTGACCCAGCGGTGAACAGCCCAGCCAGGGCTGCGCTGGCATAGGGACACTGCCAGAGGACAGCCTGGTCTGTTGAGAGGGACATGGTGCTGGCAATGTCACACCCACTTCCACCATGTCCACACTGACACTGGACAGCAGAAGAATGGCCAAGCTCTGGAAGGCAGAGCTCACAGGGTCAGGCCTGCCCCCAAAGTCAGGGGAAGCTCCAACCTTTGTAACCTGCTAGAGTCACTTCTTGCCTGAGGCCCTCTGTGTGCTGCAGCTGGGCTGTCCATCCCTGTCCTGCCCCTTGCTCACACTCCCACAGTGCACGACGCACAGAAGCCGCTGTCCTCTCAGTCAGAGGAAAGTCCCACTGCGTCCTCTCCCCAGTCTCAACCACCCAGGTAAGCTCAGTGAGGCCTTTCTCTACCTGGTCCCTAAAGAATCTGAGACAGAAAACACAGAGATGGCGGGCACCTGGGTGGCTCAGTGGGTTAAGCGCCTGCCTTCAGCTCAGATCATGATCCTGGAGTCCCAGGATCGAGTCCCACATTGGGCTCCCAGCTCAGCGGGGAGTCTGCTTCTCCCTTTGACCCTCACCGCTCTCATGCTTTCTCTCTCTCACACATAAATAAATAAAATCTTTACAAATATACATTTAAAAAAGAAAACATATAAATGACAAACAGGTACATGAAAATACTCCACGTCACTCATCATCAGGGAAATGTAACTCAAAACCTTAGCGAGATACTGCCTCACACCTGTCAGAAGAACCAGTCTCAAAAACACAAGAAGTAACAAGTGTTGGCGAGGACGTGGAGGAAAGAAAACCCTTGTGTGCGGCTGGTGGGAAGAAAGCTGATGCAGCCACTGTGGAAAACAGTGGGGAGGTTCTTTAAAAAAGTAAAAATAGAAGTACCATTCAAGCCGTTCCACCTCTGGGTATTGATCTGAACAAATGGAAACACTAACTCCAAAACATACCTGCCCCCCCCAAGTTCACTGCAGCATTATTTACAAAAGCTAAGACAAGGAAACAACCTAAGTGCCACTGACAGATGAATGGATAAAGAAAATGTGGTTGAAAAAAAAACCTGTATATATACACAGTAGAATTATTCAGCCATTAAAGGAAGAAAGAAAGAAAGAAAGAAAGAAAGAAAGAAAGAAAGAAAGAAAGACTGACTGCCATTTGCAACAACATGGATGGACCTTACTGGCCTTATGCTACATGAAATAAGTCAGACAGAGAAAGACAAACACCATATGATCTCACGTATACATGGAATCTAAAACAACAAAGAAACAAACAAAAACCCCCGAGTTCACAGATACAGAGAACAGACCGGCAGAGAGCAGAATGCCCGAGGTGGGGGGGGGAATGCATGAAGTGGGGGTACAAACCCCCATCTATAAGGTCCTGGGGATTAAAGAAAGAGCTTGGTGACAATCGTTAATAACACTGTATTGCATATTTGGAAGTTGCTAAGAAAGATCTTAAAAGCTCTCCTCACAAGAAAAGTAATTTTGTAACTACACATGGTGAAGGCTGTGAACGTGGTGTTTGTTTCACAATATACATAAACATCAAATCACCGCTCTGTACGCCTGAAACGAATATAATGTTATATGTGGATTACACCTCAACTTACAAAAAAGAAAAAGAATCTGAGAAGGCAAAAAGGTAAAACCTAGGTCTGAGAGGACAGAGATGAGAACGTAGAGACCAGGGGCCGGGCCCCAGAGGTGCAAGCCAGAAGGTCCTGTGCTGAGGCTCTGCCCTGCCCACATGCAGCCCAGCTTCTGGGCGGCA